AACGTTTATTAATCATTATACTATTCGGCGCCATGCATTCTAGACAGTCGTAAAATAAACCATAAAAAACGTAGAAGGACGACATTTTGGAGTCCCTGACATTCGAGATCTGTATTACCGACACATGTTGATAAACGTGTCCTGTCCACGTGTCTTCTCGAGGCTCCAGACGGCTTCCAGTTCTGTTGGGGTCACTCTTGTAGTTTGTCCGGCTGACCTTGTCATCCGTCCCACGCACGCGTCGTGACTCGTCACTGTCAATGGTTGTTGAACCAAACAAAACAAAGTGTTCACGATTCATCTGCTCCATTCATTTCAGTGTCACTCATCACCTGATGCTCATCCCAGTGATATGCTTGCTTTAACCCCCCACCCATCCAGACTTATACATACACAATGCGATATTGGGGCTCGTCAGTGAGACTGTCATTCACAGTCTGTTTTCGTCCTTATCCACCGTAACACTCTCAAATCGAACTTTATAAAAATTTATGTAAAATAATGGTTAACCGTGCAAAAAACGTCAGAACACAGATTGTTACTCTCATGTAAGAAAAAAATAACACGTGGTATTGTACGATAATAAAAAACAAAAATAGTAAAACGCGTGTTTATGTTTGGGTTTACAGTCCTTTTTGTTGGACCTTGGTCACCTTTTCAGTTTTCTAATCCTGTATATAATCAGTAGGACTCATTGGAGAGGGGATCAGCCAGTTTCAAGGCCGCTATCTACACACTGAACAACACAAACACAGAATAAACGCACACAGACATCCATGACTTGTATGTGTGTGTGTGTGTGTGTGTAAATGGTGAACCATAAAATCCGGCCCTCGCACTGCGACCTTCAGTGATCTATTGTGATTCTCCTTTGGATTAACCCTTTATTAAACCTGCACTTCGAATGAAATGTAGAACTTTATTTGCGGGGGCGTCATAAAAGTCACTTAGTTCCATGAAGAACTGACCCAGGTGACGAAATCTTAAGTAAGCTATGGCCTCACAATCACATAGGATACGTGTGGCTGATTCGTCTTCTTGTAGGCATCTTTCACAGGTTGGGTCATCCATCCATGACTTGAGTGGGATTCGAAACCACGATTCCAGCGTTCGAGTGAAGGAAGACAGTTCATGCCTTAAACCACACGGCCACTGTGATCTCTGTAGTATACTGTCTTCACTGTTGACTAACTTCATTATGGATTCATGACGTTTAGTGTAGTAGGCCTGCATATACTCGTACTTCTTATCACGTCTGTGTGAGGGATGCAGCTAGCAAAGATCGCATTTGGAGACTGCGTATTTCAACTTAGGGATGAGCTGGGAGATTATGCCCTGTGCGAAATATCTACAAAACGTCGCTTGTTACCTTACAGGCAGGGGAAGTACTCTTCGCGCTGTACACACGATGCCACTTTCATTACAACTTAAGTACAGTACGACACGGTGGACATTGCGGAATATTCGGCACGATGTGAACTACTCTTTTGCCACGTTTTGCTCTCTGCCTCACGTTTGTTTATATGAACTCCGTAAACATTCCGAATAAAGTATAGAAGAAGTCGTAGAGTTGCTCTGTGAAGCAAAAGAATCAGTTGCAGACAAGGGTTTTAAGACAGGAAGAGGAAAAGCTGAACCAGCCGGTATAGGAAGAAGAGGAGGAGCAAGAAAAGAGAACCGTAGGAGGTTCATGAAGAAGAGAAGAGTAAGAATAGTTTGTTAGACCTGTTGCTGGTATTTTTTTTTTTTTAACTAGTGGGGTGGGACTAAGTCCCTTGTACTGCGGCCACTTCTGGCTATTGTACCAGCCCCAGATGATAAGTGAGGGTGATTGTGGAGCAATTGGTGGAATGAAGATTGGCAGAAGAAACCGAAGTACTTGGAGAAAACCTGCCCCAGCGCCTCTTTGTCCACCACAAATCGCACTTGACCAGACCTGCGATCGAACCCGGGCCGCCGCGATTGGAAGCCAGCGACTAACCGCTTGAGCTATGTAGGTATGATCTAACTCAGTATATAGGTGGCTTGGCCCGAATGAGGTTTGAACCTGCAGTCTCGGGAACTGTGGTGGCATTGCTACAATGCCAGTGTACTCTCCTGGCCTTGGCTATCAAGGTTGGCTGGGCTAGATTAATAGTGACACCACACATAGAGTTGTCCAAGGAATACAAATACCAGCACCATCTACTCGCACATAGAGCTGGCGGCACAAGGGGTCAGAAGACAGGCTGGTTACTTGGCTATCCCACCGTTTTACAGCACTGTATCAACTGCAGACTTTATATATCGCAAGATTTGATTTGTTAAGGTAACTGTGATTTCCAAATTAAGATGGATATATGAGGAAGTAATTGTTTCCTATTCAAGGTATTATCCCATCCTGTTAAGGGAAGGATCGAAAATTCCAATAGAAACCACAGTGATCATAGTAAGATTCATTGTATACCTTTTATGAAGTGTCTCCCTTTAAGGAGGAAAGGGATAGATCACCCTGTTGTCTTACATGTGTGTCCTTCACAATTTTTTATTCAGTTGGCCGATTTGCACGAAATTTGGTGCTAACATGTTACTGGAAACGGCTTCGACCTCATATTCTTTAATTCATGACAACCAGAAATAAGAAGATGGCAGATGCACGAAACTTGCGAGGTGGGAGCAATTTCGACGTTTATTGTTGGGTTCTTTTGGAGGACTTCATACAATATGGTGACCATGCGAAAATTATCATGTATCTTTCAGTTATACAACGACAACTAATGGCCCGTTGGTGCTAAAGAAATGAAATTTTGTACGAAGTTAGACTGTAATAGTATTAGCGCACTGTAAATTGTATACGAAGTATTGTTTCTGTATCAACAGATATACACTAGGCAACTTTGTGAAACTTTGAGATTATATACGACACATTTAACATAGACAAAATGAGTCCTCACAATAATTTTTTTCCGGAGAGGAAATACCAATATTAATAACACTGAAGGCAACAGCATCAGTAAAAATTAGTACACATACCATTGTTCTCTTTACTTGTGCTGCAACCCGGTGTGGGCCTTGGCCTCCTCCATTTTTATCTGCAACCTGGAGGACCAGGGACCACACTTTGGCTGGCCCTTACTTTTTGACCTGTGTGATATGTGTTGCCCTACCAGGTTCTTATGCTACCATCAGCATAACTGTCAGGGTCACTGGGATGGGCAGTCCCCCTCTCCACGATAAGGTGGAACGGAACATACAATTGGAAGCAATAAAATAATTGACTCAAATATGGTTCGACACCATAGCTATGCACATACTGGCCAAGAAAATTAACCCATGAGCTGAATTGTATTTGATTATTTGAATATAAACTTGTTACAAAAATAAAATGTGAGTACAGTAAAACCCCAGGATTTTTTGGTCTGGAAGTCTGCAATTGGAAAGAAGACTTTGAGGACAACTTAGAACTCCATATGACATAATTTCATCCTGTTACTATCACATGAAGGTTAGGGCAACTTTTTGTAAAGTTACATCTGAAAGATTTCTTGCTCTTGTAATTTATTTTGCATGTCTTTCAAAATATCTTCATCTCCAAATCCTTCCCTGGGGTGGTAAAACTGCGCAGGTTTTCCAATGGCTGGAACTACAGCTGCCTCACATTATATTCTAGAAATAACAGCCTACAATTTTATCACAGCCACGCCTAAACATGTTTATTTATGACTCTTGTAACACCTGTTGACAGTTCAACCAGAACCCTTTTAATTTATTAGATAAGCTTTTATGTTATTAACTTCCCCAGCTTTTCCCCTGCATTCCTTTACAGGCCTACAGGTTATCGAGTAATGTGTCATGGCAAATGGTTAATGCTGTTTCCCACAAATAGCACACACAAGCAATCATAGACATTCTCCTTTTGTATGTATATATTAAGGATATGAATTCAAATGCCTTTATGTTTTACAAATATTGAGGAAATGCTATAATTACCTACACTGAACTTCTCAACTAGAAATAAAGTACATCTAAGTAACCTACTCATTCACTGGAATGGAGTCCTTCTTGAAAAGCTAATAGGTGTGCAGCTGCTCAATAAATTTACAATTTTTTTAACTGGAAGGTTTATTACTTTGTTCAAAAGAACCAGCAACTTTACTGTGCTCTGAGCCAGAAGAATCACAGTCTCATCATCCCACCCTACTTCTTTACAATCCATATTAATATTATCATTTCCAGCCACTTCTAGGTCTTCTGAGAGGTCGCTTCCCTTCAGATTTTCTGATCAAAATTTTTTGTTCATTTCTGTTCTCTCCCATGCATGTTATATATGCTACCCAGCTCATCTATCCTGACTTGATCATCGTAATAATGTTTGGCAAAGAGTACAAATTGTGAAGCTCCTCATTACATAATTCATTCTGACTTCTTGTCACTTCCTTCAATTTAGATCAAAATATTCCTCTTAGCACGTGATTCTCAAACACACACAGTCTATTTTATTTCCATATAAGACTAAAGGTACAATTATAATTTTGTTCACTTTCCACATCTGTGCATTTTTACATAGCATATGGGAAGGCAGAAGATTATGAATTTATTGGTATCAAGCTTTCCACAGATGTAATTATGCTCTCACTTTCATTACGAATGCAAGTCTGAATTATTTTAGTCATTCCCAAATACTTGATCTTTGCCACATCTTTTTAAATATTTATTAATTATGTTTATATTGCGATTTTATGATACATTCATACGGTTCTTTGTCTAAGTAATGGAGCTTCATCAATTCTGTATCTTGGCACTAAGGATCTGATTACTTTATCCACAAAAAGAGAAGCCAGTGATTCATTTTATTGACTGAGCTATTGTACATAAAAAGTAATAAAAATGAAAAATGTTTGTACACAAAATAAACATAACAGTCAGTTTTCCTAGGTTTGTTAGTGTCTGTCAAGATCTTTGTGTTCATTTTCATATCTTAACCTCTGGTGACTGCTTAGATCTGTACCAAATCATTACAGATTTCCCAAAGGCTGTGAAACGGCTTCTGAAGAATGACATTCTCATGTTCCGAACAGCAAGCAGCGTCCTTCACATTCTGCCAATAGCAGGCCTATACACGTTTCTTCCCAAATACCTGGAGTCACAGTTCAGGCTTGCAGCCCATGCAGCGAATATGATATCAGGTAAAGTGTGTCAACATATATTTCTTGCAGGTCCTTTAACATACAAACTCTGTGCACATGTCGAATCAGCCATTACATAATTGAAGCAGGAAAATATGTAACTGGTTGAAAGTGCATAAACATTAATTAACCAACCATAACTCCAAGGGAAAAGTCCTTGAGAAATTGATAGTCGTTCAGCTGGTTGACAAATTCCCTGCCTTGTATGGAACCTGGAGTCTCATTACAAGTTCACACCACTTGTTCTTATCCTGAGTCCAATGAATCCATTCCACATTCTCACACCTTTCTTCCATAAAGTCATATATTGCTATAACCCTAAATGATCTTTGCCATTCAAGTCTTCTGTTTAGAATTTTGTATGTATTTCTAATATCTGAAATGCATCTGTTATAACCCCTTAACTCATCTCCCTTGATATGATCTCCCTAATAATATTATAAAGAATAAACATTATGAAGCTTCTCATTATACAATTTTTGTCCTTTCTCCCTCACTTTCACTCTCATAAGTCCAACTATTCTCCTCAGCACCTTTCTATCACACATTGTCAATCTAATGATCTTCCTTTGAGGTGAGAAACAAGGTTTCAAGCCAGTTCAAGTAACAGATAAAATTGCGTTTTAAGCTCTGTCATAAAAATTCATCACTCTTTTCTGTATATGAAAACTATAGTTGGTCTGTAAATATAATGATGCCAAAAATAAGGAAATGATAAAATAAATAGAAATGAAATTAAAGATATAAAGAAGTGATACAACCCTGGAAGAGACTAGGAAGCTTGTTAGCACCATAACTGGAGATTCATTAGCAACAACATTGGAAATTTTTATGGTTATGCTTTATTTTTCTTCTAACAGGAGTAGGAGGAATTCTTGTAATGGGTCTTGGAATTATCATTAGTGGGGTCTTCATTTTACGCGTAAAGCCAAATGCAAGGTTTGTTGCTGCGTGGATTGCCTTCACTGCTGTGGTCTATGCTATTGGTAAGTGAGGTAATAGCAGTACATATATATAAATTTATGTGCTTGTTGTATTGTTTTATTATTTCAGTGTTCCTATTAGGATTGTGATTGATGCTTTGGTGAAAGGTTAGAGACCCTGAACAGTTCTTTCGATCATGACTTACTAACTTCATGACTTGTTTACAACATGTAGTAAACATATAATCTTGTCATATGGGAATTGTCATAGAAATTTTAATTAATAAATAAATTAATTAATTGTTTAACCCATTTTGCTTCTTGCTTCCCAGTAGAGAGCACTCAAGTTCTTGCTTTGTTGCATCGCCTTGTTAAGATTAGGGCATTGAATAAGGTGTCCTATTCCCATAGGTGATCCTGGCAAGTTCCACAGAGTACATTCCTCTGTGTTATATATTCCTATCTTACAAAGATGTGCTGCAAGTCATGTCCTGTATTCAATCGAAAATTTGCAACAGCTTATTTTCTGGGTTAATTTCCCAAAGTTTTCCTATTTCTGACCATTTCTTGTTGTATGGTTCTTTGTTGATGGGATGGAGTATTTCTTTACTTGTTTTAGGTTTGAATTTGTTAGCTAGCGTGTGGGCACTTAAGATTTTATTTTGGTGATGCAGTCTTGTGCCTTTCTTTGCCAGTTCATCGGCAATATCGTTTTCATTGATGCCAACATGTGATGGTATCCATTGAATACACGTATATTATCTTTTTTTGTGTTTTTCAGTAGTTCTATTAGTTTTTTTATTTCAATTATCTGTCTCATGATAGTTCCTTTGTTTGAGGATATGGCTTGTATGGCTGCTTTTGAATCCACAAGCAGAACCGTTTTATTAAACATGCTGTGTCTGCTAATTAGTTGTTCCAATGCAAATAGTATTGCTTCTATTTCTGCATCGAANATGTCTGGTTGCATTTTTAATTTTTGTTATGGTGGTATTTGTTTTACCCATGTTATCTCTGGTATGAATTTCATTTTCAAGAATGTTATTGCTCCTTGTTTTTTAAATTTCTTCTGTGATGGGGTTGTTTTGTGTATATAATTGTAGTGCTGCTATGGGTGTTGTCTTAACAGCTTTGGTTATCGATCTTAATATATTGTTTTGCGCTCCTTCAAGTTTGTTGAGTCTTGTATTATTGGCTGCTATTATCTCTTCACTTCCATGTTTTATCACTGGTTTGATATAGGTTTCATAGGTTTTATTTAGCATGTCTTGGGAATATCCCCATGTTACTCCACTCGGGCGTTCTATCAATGTTGATTTTTCTTTACTTTATTTGTTATTTTATCTATATGATGGCTCCAATTGAATTTGTTATCTAGCTGTAGTCCTAGATATTTTGTGTTTTCAGCCTTCTGTAAGGATTTGTTATTTATGGTCAGACTGAAATCCATATTTTGATGTTTCAAAGGGAAGAACTGGTAATATTCTTGGAATATTCTTGCGGGTAAAGGGCAGCCGGCACGTAAGGCTGACAACCTTGCTGCCACCTATGAACTGATTGTCTAGAAAATGTTGGAACCTCAATATCTCACAACCCTATAGGCCTCCATGTCCTGCTACTGGGATACCATTACTTTACATGGACTATATGGACTGTCCCAGCATATCACCCAACATTCCCACAAAGTTGGTTGAAAATAGATGTAAATTTTATCTGCACTCATTCTACATGTTTTCATGAAAAGGTGCTGAGATTCACATATTAGCAGCAAGTTATAAAGGCATGAATAAAATTTTGTTTTGTTTTTCCTACAGGAATGGGAATCTTAATGTTGATTGGCTGTCCAATGAAGGATTTTGCTGGACTGCATACAACTTCTTCAGGGTGAGCATTGTTATCATGAAGTTTGTTAGAATTTTTAAATTTAAACATAGCTAGCATTAGCTTTGTTAAGACAATAGAAGTGAGCTTTGACATTTCGAAACACAAAACTGTGCTTTCATGTTCTCTTCATGGTACAAGGTCTACCAGTCTAGAAGCTGACCTTCTTTTATGGTACTCAGAAGTTCACAAAAGCCTATAGTTGGGCCTTGTCTTGAATCATTTCAGCCCAGTTCACATCTTCGCAGCATGTTTTTGTTAGATCCTGTTTAACAAATCAATCCCTTGTCAATCTTGAAGGTTGCATTCCTGAGAGACACACAGTTGACATGACCAAGGCCTTGTAGGATATTTGGGATTAGAGGAACTGCCGCTGCTATTTATACTCATCAACTAAGTTGCATGTTCTTTCACTAAAAAATAATATTAGACATAAAATACAAATTAAAAAATATCACAAAAAATGCTTCAGAATAAAATTACTAGAATCTAGAAAACTGGTTTTAAATGCCATCAGTAAGTGTGGCTGTCTTGCAGTTGAAACCACCGATATTTTACTCATGTATACTAATTAAAAACACCGATGCATAAAACCATTGCTTTTTTTTCTAAAAGCATGTTTGCCAGTACTTGGCTTAAAGGTTGAATCATATAATGCAACCTTTTAATTGTCTGCTGGGATGTATAGTGGTGTATACCATCTGCTTGTGTTCTGTCCCATCCCAAGCTCATCACTAGCGTGCACACCATCTAGCGGTTTGCTTCTGATATATAACATTTAGTTTCACAATATTTTTTGATGTTGTAAAGTTTCTCGTAATTCTCATTCCAGATTGACAACTTTTGAGCTGGATTGTAATGCAACTTGCAATTGTGACAGGAATAAGTTCAGTCCAATATGTGGTCGAGACAAAAGCACATACTTCTCTGCCTGCCATGCTGGATGTCAGAATATAACCTTAGTAGATGGAAAAATAGTGTCGGTGAGTCCTGGCACAGTCCTTTATGGGAAAAATGAGTTCTGATAGATACAGACTTCTGGGTTTATGAAAAGTACGATTTTATTGAAAATCATAGTCTGTAATGCAAATTAATTTCCCAGAATTTTAATGACACATACCCATATACATAGTAATAAAAGGAGGTAACTAAGTGGTACGTGGTATATATTTGTATGCGTGTAGGCGTTATATATGTATTTTTATGGAAAAGACGTGTAAGGAATATGAAGGTAGTATTCTAGAAATTAAAGACTGTGACACTAGATAGAGGTAAGTGATTGTTGTTATATTCAATTTGCCCTACCCACAGGGAAAAGATCTCTGGTACCCCTAGGAAAGGAGGCTTAATGAGCCCAAAATCTTGTCTGGGAAAGATCGCTAAGGGAAATCTGTGCCTTTGCCGCTAGTCAGACCTCTCATCCAGCCCATAGCGTCATTTTAGAGAATGCGCTATCATGGGGATGTCATGAGAATGAACAAAATATAAAATATCACGGTTCATTGACAAGATACAAGGTTTGTATTGATAATGGGATTGTTTGAATGCTTATTACTCTCAACTACATATTATTTCATTGCTTTTACTACTCTTCAAAATCTATAAATACCTACAGCACATGTCATATCTGTCCAGTCTGCTATATCCTCAGATACTTATTGCTTGGTTACACCCCCTAGTAATGGGGATGGTCCCTAATGCTTCTGTTCTCAATGGTGCTCATCCTTAATGATTTTGATTTGTGTCACTGGCTCTCTTGATAATAGCATTGCATTGGACTGATTAGAAAATACCACCCTCAACAGTCACAGCCATGGATGCCCCCATGATGCTTTCCTAACTCCAAAATTCAGACTTTTAGGCATCATGTAAAAATATTGTGTAATTTTTCAAATTAACAAACCTGTTGGTACAAATCTTTGTCAGTTTATTGTCACAGCTTTATTTTGTAATTGAATGCTGTCAGAAAAACACTATTCTTCTTGTGGATTGAGGTTCGCACAGTAGTGGCTATTAAAGAGAGCCTTCTGGTTTGTAACTCCAGGTGGTTGGAGAAAGCCTGATATTGCAGAGGAGCATATCAATCTTTAGGGTCAATTAGGAAGCCAAGCAAGGATTGGGTTGTCTCTGAACTACATGGAGTTACAACCCAGAAAATGATACTCTCCTTCTCCTCCTTCTTCTCTTTCTCGTCCTCTTCCTAATCGTCCTCCTCCTCCTTCTTCTTCTTCTACACATATGAATATGTAGAATTTCTAGATAAGCCTGTGATTTTTCTGTGTTGGATCTGTGCACTGTAACAGGCTGAAGTGAGTGCAGAATAAATGTTCTGTACAATGTCTTGAGTCAGCAACATAAAAGTGTTGAAACAGATCTCCTCATTGCATCCATGGGTAGGTCTGTCCTTCCCCTCACTTGTTAGATTGATAATAAGGCACAATAGATCGCTGTGGTTGCGGTGCAAGGACCAGAAGGCCCACCCCTTATACATTCATTAGACTGATAATCATGGAGAATTCTGGGGTGTGGGAATTCTTGAATGTTCCTACCATTTAATTTGATATTCTGTTATTTGTGTATTAATATTAACTGTTCTTATTTTGTCTCTTATAGTTGCAATGTCCATATGACTGTATAGCTAGTATCTAGATGCTGTTGTCTGCTGTTTCTATTCTACTTTTTTCTTTCAGTCAAAGTTCATCATTCTGATTCAGAGCTGGTATTGCGATAACATAGAATTTAAGAAGAGTTTTCTCCCAGTTTTCCCAAGCAGTCTTTTCTGTAATGTTCCAAATATACCGTGGAACCTGTGCAATTTCATATTATCATTGCTGTCTAACTTATGGCTGCATTGTTTTTAGTCCTTGCAAGAAGTTTTCCTTTGAAAGCTAATATAAATGTTCATCTTTATTAAAGAAATGCTTCCAAATGTTTGTTCCTTTAGAATGATACTTTACATTCATGCTAATGTTTCAGTATTCAGAATGCCTGTGTATGCAGAATAACAGTGCCAACATATCACAGATCGGAAAAGAGCCCTTAGCAAATGCAACAATTGGTTACTGTGACCTGGAATGTGATAATTTCATCTGGTACATCATCCTTTTCTCCATATTTGTCTTCATCCATTCAACATCTGAAGTAGGAAGCATGCTGTTGATTTTACGATGTGTTGACCCCAGGGACAAGGCTATGGCCCTTGGTCTCATACAGTTTGCTATTGGGTTATTTGGTAAGTACCTAACATAGGAATTATTTGGTATTTTGTGAACACAAGTTGAAAGGTGAATTCCAATTTTGAGTACACTTGTTTCCCAAAAGGGGTTTTTGTAACATAACTCATTGGCCTTCAGATTAAAATCTATATACCTAGGTGGCAGTGTTCCTTCTAACGTCGTTGAAGTGGAAGAGAACTACATTAGCTAGCAAAATAGTATACACAGAATCTGGAGACATTGATTATGCTAAATTAGTGAATGAGTTCAGTTCAGTCTTATGTACATACAAGTAGATGTCACTGCAGAGCTAGTTCATACAACCTAGAAATTATTTTCCCTTTTATTTTGTTAAATATTCACCACATTGAAATATTCCCTGTATTAAAATTGTAGGTCTTGATTAGTTCTGTATTTTATTTCATGTACAGATGTTTTATGGGGTACGTGGTAGCACGGTTAGTTGAGGCACTATGCTACAAGTCGGAAGATATTGGGTTCAGTTCCCGATGTCACTGGGTTTTCAATTAACCCAATCCTTCCAGCCTCGCTATGGCCCTGGGGTCGACTCAGCCTCTAACAGAAATGAGTACCAGGAATATTCGTGGGGGATAAAGGGCGGTCGGTACATAAGGCTAACAACTTTACAGCCATCTATGACCAGATTGACTAGATAGCATTTTATAAAATTATACATTTCTGAGAATATCCGTGAAGTTCGATTTGAGTTTTGTGTAAAATATGGATTACATATGGCTGGTGTGAACTTAAATTGACTTTTCTTCACAGCAGTTAGTACAGACTCCAAATCCAAAACTTAGGTGTTAATTTTAGGAACTTAACATTAAAAAGTTATTAAAATTATTTACATACTGTTATTTGTGTAACCCAGTTGAGTCCAGTGCAAAGCTTTGACTCCTGCACTGCAATATTTATTTCGTGTAATTTAAAACAACTATTAAAATGAAAATTTAAACAGTTGAATACAGTGACTTTCAGAACTTCAGATATTCCTCATTACAACTGAAAGTCATGATGATGGCATCAGTACTTTTTAACGTGTAAATGAAGTCCTGAAAATCTTGATGCTGTCAGTGTCCTTAAGCATCCAACTTAAATATTTTGAAACTATTGTTATAAAAGATTTGTACAGTTACCAAAAAGGTATTGTTGATAGTCTGATAAGGAAAAGTAGCAATGTGATTTATCATTTTTGTAAGCATTTGTCAGTAAAAAGGAAACATGCACCAAAAAATGTATTTACTGCATCATAAACTTGTCCATTTAGACTCAATGCACTACATGTGTGCAGGTGACCTGTGTCAACACTTGAAAAAGTAGATAGGTATAAAATTCCTCATACTCTGCATTCTGGAAATATCCCATGCCCAGCAAACAAGCAGTATATTAAACATGCGATATTTTCTGATGAATAATAGCAAATGTAGATTCCATTACTGTAATAGGTGCAGAAAACTCTGTTAATCTCTCAAGTTAACAATGGATAAAGTCCGAAAACCCAATATCTCTGTGTCTCAAGTTAATGGTTGTCACATTGTGTTCCCACTGTAACGCCCTTCCTCAATGAAATGATGATGATGATCTATTTGAATTTTCTTGCAGATTTTTTTATTGCTAGTGGGGTGGGACTAAGTCCCTTGTACTGCGGCCACTTCTGGCCTATTGTACCAGCCCCAGATGATAGGTGAGGGTGATTGTGGAGCAATTGGTGGAATGAAGATTACATACATACATATACATACATAGCTAACTAGCATTCCATAGATCCATGAGTTAGTCAGATGACCTACCGGATGTGGAATTTGTCAAAAATCATACAATACATATATACATGCACAATTCAAT